CATATATAGTATTACACTTGAATAATACCTGTAATTAATATGCAATATTATGGTATAATACTTTTTCAACATTATGCTTGCATACCTTATTAAATTTTCTGATAAAACTACTTGAAAAGTACTATGTTAAAGATGCATTAAAAGGTATTACTCCAGAATATTATAAAAAATTTATCAATGGCATAACTAATTGAATTGGGAAGTTATTTTTGCAAATGGAGATAGAATTTATTATTAAAATTTTATAATGAATTTGTTTAACTTTAAATTTTTATTATTGCTATATTATATATATATAAGTTTTTCCAACTTGAAAAGTGGCTGGATAATTCTGATCGCCCTCTGTATTTTACTTAATTTCTCATCAAGTATTAATCCTAATAATGCGATTTTACTACCATTAGATTCGTCTTATTGAGACGATTCCAATGAGCTATATTTATCCCTTTCTGATCACTGAATCAAAAGTTAGCAAACTGCATGATTGATGATGGTATTTGGCGAAAATGCCAATCAGGTACCTGATTGGTAACTGATTGGTGACTGATTGATACCTGATTTTTCACTTTTTGACCTGTGAATTGAATCCCATCAAAAAAGGTTAATTAGAGAAAGGCAGACCAGTTTGAAAGAAAGGAGAAAAATCAATAATGAAAATCGTCATCCCAAATATACTAAATAAGAAGCAAATGAGATTTCTAAAATATGTAAGAAGAAATTAGCTAAAAAAAGGTAGGCCAGTTTGAAAAAGAAATGAAAGATTAATGATTAAAGCTTTGCAATCTGACCTGACAGATTAGGTAACCTGACGGGTTAACCTGAAATATTCAGGTTAGGTCATCAAATTCATGACCTGACATGGATCAGGTCAATACTGGTCAGTACCTGACCCAACCCGTTGACCTGACATATATTTGGGTCAAATAAATTAAAAAATACTGAAACTAATAATGATTCTGGCATTTTTACATGTAAAATCAAAAAAAAATACTGAAACTATCAATTTCGGCATTTTTACATGTAAAATCGAAAAGAAAAATGCTATGTAGAACTAATGATTTTGGCATTTTTACATGTAAAATCAAAAAAAACTCTGAAACTATCAGTTTTGGTATTTTTATATGTAAAATCAAAAAAACTCTGGAACTAATGCTTCTGGCGCTTTTACATCCAAAATTAAAAAAAAAATGCTGAAACTATTAATTTTGGTATTTTTACATATAAAATCAAAAAGAAAAACTCTAGAACTAATTATTCTGACGCTTTTACATCTAAAATCAAAAAAAACTGCTGAAACTATCAGTTTTGGTATTTTTACATGTAAAATCAAAAAGAAAAATGCCGGAACTAATGATTCCAGTGTTTTTACATGTAAAATCAAAAAAAAAATGCTGAAACTATCAGTTTTAGCATGATAGTTTTAGCATTTTTACATGTAAAATCAAAAAGAAAAATGCCAGAACTAAAG